AACTTCAAGTCATAAGTTGATTTATTATACCAAGTGAAATAAACAAAACTACTGATTCTCTTACTGGCACATAATATTTGGAATAATTTTATTGGGTAATCAACTTGTGTTCTATGGTCAGCAAAGTTCACAACAAATTGCTTTCATTTGAATATCCAGAGAAGTGAATACGTTAACTGAGATAACGAAATATTGTTCTTGATGGATCGTTAAAATGCATGCATACAATGCAATTTTCTTTTCAGTTAAGCTTGGTGATAAAATCCATTTGCATGTTTCCCTGTTTTTGCGTTGCACAATCTTTCTTCATTCCTCATGAATATGTATTTACGCAGCATGTCTCAGTTGACAGTGTGGCTGTACTGTTCTTTCTTCCACTCGACTAATGCACTCTCATCGTAAGACGCTGATAATTGCCACATGTTATGACCATCTCTCTCCAATCTGGATCTGTGCTTGTAGTTAATTTCTTCCGACCTCTCCACTGTTATCACAATGAATGCTAGTATTTTTCAGTTCTTTGTGTCTTGAAACCCGTTTCTCTTGGCACTTCTTCTTCCTTTTTCACATCCCTCTCTCTCACCACCCTGATCCTCGCACCTGTCTGTGCATGGCATTCTTTCTCTTTTCCCCTGTTTAATAAAATATTCTGATTCATTAGACTACCAGAACGTGTACTCAAGCCGGAGGATTTCAACAATCGAAATCCTAATACATCGTATCGCCCACAAGTTGGTTTCAGACGTCGATCGGGTCCGAGTGCATCGCTGGATGCTGGCGGCCATAGAATGGTCAGGTAGGGTGCGAGTTGTAGCTCATTTCACCATGGGGTTGTAGTGTTAAAAATCATGGTGATGGGTATTAATGGTTTGTTCTCTAGGCGGTTTGCATTGTTTACTCTTTACCTTGTTGTCTTTAGCATGAACAATAGTTTTCTTCCGGTAGCATCTTTAAACTACATTCTATATCCTCTTTTAGCAATTCTGGTTTAGTATGTCCTTTGATGTTCTCTATTTTTTTTTCCCAAAGAGACAATACATTTATTTTTCTGCATGTTTTTTCTTCTTTCCTGCCACTATTGTGTTAGTTCTAAGGTGGTGGTTCTAAGGTGGTAGCCCTATTGCCTAGTTTTTTCATTATTTTATATGCAAGTCTACCCCATCCTTGCAGAGAAAAGGCAATGCTTATCTAATTTATAAAATTGTTATTCTCTCCTTTCCCTGAAACAGGCATTCAATGCGTGGGGCGTACTCCAACGCTCCTCCGCCACAGAGTCTTCTTGCAACCCCAACCGGAAGATCATACCCGTACCAACACAGAGGATCTTATAGTGACGATCGTAATTATAATCAGAGAGGTAAGGGTAGTCACAATTGTTAAACAAGTTTAGTTGCAGGAAAGATTTGATCTGACATGTTTTTACCTGACTCCTTGCAGCACAGGTAAAGTATTTGAAATTAACATGGCTGATTTGATGTCAAGTTCACTTGCATGTATTCTGATGCCCATTCTGTTTGCGATGACGCAAATAATGAAGACGCTTGTAAGACTATTTTCTCAGGAATCTTGCCCCCTCTAGTGGTGTGCTGAAGCATCCTTTTGTTTATATAAAGTGGTATTTTTTTTTATAGAGGGTGCTGTTCATTGGGTATACATTTCTTATATTGAGTTGTGCGCAGAAAACGTTTGCATTTATCTTGTGTTATTTTTTTGTGTGATGTCTTCATAAACCATAAAGCAGACTATATGACAAGATTTTTTTTTTATCTTTGTCATGATTAGTTAAAAACTAAGTAGGTGTGCTCTATGATTATTTCTATTGCTATTGTCAATCTTTATAATTAGGTTTTTGCTTCACATTGTAAGCATGAACAGTAATCTGGTTTTTGGTTATGTGGTGTTTTTTTGTCATTTTTTTGGCCAACTACCCTTCAATCCTCTGGGCAAAGTTACGTCACAAGACGTTCCACGTTGCTAAGACGCGCACCACTGTACATGCATTTCTATGGGGTCTGTGCGCGCTGCTGTGGAACGCCGGTCGAGCCGGTGAAAATTCGAGAAAACAACACAAACTCAACTTTGAAGTAATCCTGAATAACCAAATTCATATTTGTTACACATGTAGGGCTAATCTTGTTACACTGTTCAGGGGAGTCTCAACAATCATCCCAAAGTACCGTTTTCTGCAAGTTTTGCTTTTGTTTTCACCGCGAGGGTTGCCAGGCAGTGAAAATGCCCGGATGTCTGCCCCTGAGGATACACTGAGGATTACAACAGCGCCCTCACAGTTTCAAAGCAGTACATCATTTGTTTTTATATTTATACCATTGACCAATTTCTATGGCATCAATCCAGCTAGCTGCATTTTTCACTATTTTTCAAATATCACTTATTTTGTACAATAAGTAGTTAGAGATTATTCAAATTTATTTCTTTCAATGGAAAAGATTTCTTGTTCTTTTGTGTTTTGTTTGTTTTTTTCTTTTTCTTTCTTTCTTGAACCAGAAGTTGATTATTTGGGAAAGTATTGACTTCATCTGTGGCAGGGCTGAGCTTTCACCTTATTGTGAAAGCTTATGGTGTTTGACCTTGGCTCATAGTTGGCATTAAGATTAGCATGGGTAAAGGTGGGAATGAAACTGCAACATGGACATGTACTTTTTTTTTTGCAAACTAGGTATACTTTAATCTGGTATCTTCTCAGTATGTGATATTACATTTAGTTTATTTAAAGAATAGCTGAACTCAAATGATTTTGTCTCTTCAGGTACCTAATGCCTTGTTGCAATTTATCGCTGAATTTTCATCTTTTCATACATTCAATTTAATATTATATTAATGTTTATTTAATCATTATTTATGATTCCATATGTTTAAAAGTAGTGTTTTGTATAAATAGCAGCGGCCGCCATTCTGTGCCCTTCCCATCTCTTCCCTTGTCTGCCTTCCTGTCACTTAACACTGCTGCCCAGGCAGGATTATTTACATTGCGGCGTATTTGGTCAGCCTTGCATATTTACACACATACAGTACCTTATTGATAGATCGTGTTAAGATTTATTTTTGTCTTCCTTCCTTTTTTTTTTACTTTGACACAGTCTCGTGTACGAATCACTTTACGACCAGACAGGAAAGGATTAATCACCACGGTTTTCTTTCTATTTGTACTTTCTCTCTTTTTTTGTGTTGTTGTCATTTCTGAAAAATTTTCAACGGCGCAGACTGAATCAACATACACAGTGGAATGATGGATTGTTACATTAAATCCTATTATGACATTTTCGCTGTTCTGATGTGGGTTTTTTTTTTGTGTGTGTCTCGCTCTTCAAACCTTTTTACGCAGAGTGTGGATTGATATCATGTTGTTTTGACTAGATTGTGCAAAAATGTCTGTTTTAAATTTATTTCAAGTTTTAAAATATCTGGGGACACGTTTACACTGCCAATAAAGTGATCATCGCTGGTTAAAAATCTGCACATGTTACTTAGGATGACAATTGTGTTTTTTTTGAGGATTGAATGTCTTTTTGATACAAACGAATCGATACTATTACAGCACTCTCACAGAGTTACTTAAGAGAGCTGTCTCCTTATGAACTATTAGCGGATGCAATTGTCTTTTCTTCTCTACCAAAAAGGTGGTTAACATATCCAGCCCCCTCTTTGTAGTTTTGTTTTGTTGAATTTTATGATGCATACCCCATCTACCAGATCGATTGAACACAGAAGGTCCTTCACCTGTGGCTGGTGCATCGACTGGGCATTGGCTTGCCATTGGTGAAAAAAGCCAAAATAACTGTTTAAAACATCAGATATCTAAACAATATAGATTTTAATCTTTCCTGTGGCCTTGTATACAAAGAAAAACTCTTCAAAAGTTTTTTTTTTCATTTTTTTTTTACAACTTTAAAAAAGAAAAAGCCAGAGAGTGAGCGAGAAAGTAACCCTATCTGATAGGACTGGTGTCTCTGCACTTTGTACTGTGTTTAATTCAAGTCATTTGTTTTGAGTGATACTGCTGTATCTAATCATAATACGTAACACTGGGCACCTGCCAGCCCTTTGTCTTACGTTCAACCACAGATAAGTATCCCAATATGGATTTTCCTGAGCAAATGTAAAGAAAATCGAAATGTCTACTTTTTACTGGAATGGCCAATAGAACCCAGCCACCCACTTTTCTCATGTATCAGACAGTATATCTGTGGGTCACCAAATTGACAGTGTACACATTTATTGTAACTTTTTTTTTTTCTTTTCTTTTTTCTTTTTCCTGAATTTTGTGAACTCACTACTAGCATGCAACCACCATGCTGCTAGTGACAACTGCATAGTTTGCCACCTCAACGGTCTTGAGTAAACAACTTTAGCCAAGCGGTTAAGAAATGGACTTTGCAATTGTACTCAAAGAAAGTAAACGGCTCTTGGGTAACAAGCTTAGTGCACCAAGATTTCCACACCCCCTTTCTTGTTTGGCAGTCCATCTCCTGGCAGGGGAATTTTGCTAAGCCCTGTGTCAACATTATCTGCTCTATCCCCTTTGCATTATTTATTTGGTAGATTGCTTCACACATTTTGCCTTTGTGCCCTTGCAAAATACAAGAAACATTTTTGCTACAAGGCTCTTTTGTGGCTTTTGTGGACAGTTTAGAGTGGGAGGAAAGCTGAAATAAAAAAAAAGAAAGAAACAAACAAAAAGAGACTTCGAGGGTGGTAGTCTAACAACAACATACATCTACCACTGCATCTTGCATAGTTGAAAGTATTATCGAAATCGGGGACAGGCGAACACTTTATAGGCAGGTGACAGACATTCCAACATCAGGACAACAATTTTTTAGCTCTCTATCCCGCTGAAAAGGGGAAGCCAGATCTGCAGGTTTCATATGTACAAAGTAAACAGTGTGAGTTTTTGTTCTCTGTAGTGGCTCATACCTCGCTATCGTCAGTTGAAATACCTTCCAGAAAACCTTTTTGCCAATTGATCGTTTTTTTCCCCCTTCTTTAATTCCATGCTGAAAGATACTGAGTTCTCTGCAGGCAACACTACCATTAACACCTTGTCACGCAGCGATGTTTTGGATGTTTATTGGAATGCCTCCGCTACTTTGTTGGAATGTATCTGTCAGTATAGGCTTTCTCTTAGATGAGGGAGGGAGGGAGAGATTTGATATTTATGTAGTGCAATTTTTTTTTTCGCAGGGTGATTTGTGCAGTGCTGTGTAAAATTGAAAAATTTGTCTGCAATGCAGCTGGTGTCCCAATAGTTTCATTTCATTTGAAATTTGCTTTTGATTGTTATTGACATAGTGGTTAAATATAAAAAGTTGGAATCGAATTGAAGTTCGTGCCATTGTGTGCTTTTTTTTTCATAATCGCAGATCAATAACACACTGCCATTGTGCAATGATTAATGACCACCTCGTTTTCTAATTATCTTATGTGTTGGAGAATTTTAATTTCAATTTAAAAAAAAAATGGGCTGTCACTATGTTGTATAAGAATGATCTGTTGATATAGCTCTCTCAAAACATATCGGTACCTCCTCCCCTTCCCCCCTCCCCTTCACCACCACCCTCTTCTCCAATACGTTTTTCAGCTGCAGTTGTTTGCTAACAGCTTCAATTAGTCTAAGATAACATCCGTATAACACTTTAAGAAAAAGATCTGTGCAGGTGTGAGTGTGTGTATGTGTGTGTGCACGTGCTGTTATAAGCAACAGTTGTTTAGAGCTAGTTGCCAGGGTGAGTGATGGTTTGTTGTCAACTTGCGGGCGTGTTTGTTTAAGTACAGTAGACTATTGGTTTTGGTTATCATTAAAACACTGAATGGCCAGAATAAAGACTAATGGGGCAAAGTGAGAGTTTCAAGTCTTCTCTATTGTTGCGTATTTTAAATAGTCTCCATTTGAGATATCCTCACAGGTGTACACTCAGAGCTCTTCAACAACTCTGCATCGTCCTGTACTCATAGGAGGTCTGTCCAATTAAAGACTCCAAAGAATGGGAACTAGCAACCAACTCTACACTGAATACTAATCACAATAATAATAAGTACTTTTTGATGGTAGTCGGCCCTTGCCGTGATCATCTCATCTCATCTATCTGTCCTCGTCTTCCTATCTAGTTCTACTCGTATAAGGGGAAAGCATGAGTCGGTGATGCATTTATTTCATGATGCATCGCTTCGTGATTTGTATGTTCGTCACGCAGTGATTATCCTGGATTGAGTCTTCTTGTCGGTGTATGATATCTCTGTTTGTGGTTTACGGGGAACCGTGTGGTGGGGTGAGTATTTTAAGGTGTGTTAGGAATTCCTCACTCTGTCCAAGCTTTAGAATACAACTTTTACTTACGT